GCTATAGTTACTTTTTCCATATTGTAAACAAAGATGACATTCATATTTTTCGTTACGATTCAATATTGGCGGCAACACGTTATATCTTAACAATTTATGATAAGCTTAAACGGATCGACGCGGTGGACTCATGGGTAAGCGTCAGCTTGACACACGATGGGTCGCGGGTTCGAGTCCCGGCCGAGACAAAAGTCATTTATATGATTTTTCTCGGGCCACCGTGAGCGGGAGAGGAAGATCTCTTCGGAGAGCCGGCGGGTGGTTGTATCGACGACACAGGTTTTCTGCGTAAGATCCCGATCGTAGGGATAGGGGGGGGCAGTATTGTAAAACGTGTGCCGTATTTCATTCCAACGAATTAATTAGTTAAGAAAGTTAATTATCAATGAACCTAATTTATTTATTTATTTGTTTATATAACCAAAAAAATTATCACTAAACTTAAATAAAATTGTTTGTCGGTTACGTAGTTATCACAGCTAACGTTACTAAATTTTCAGGTGCTGTGGAACACTAAATTTTCTGGTGCTGCCAAAGTAATTTTCAAAAAAACTGAATGATACATTTTCTTATGTAACTTATAATTTTTGTATGTTGATCATTACTTTTTACTTTTCAGTAAGTTTGAACTCACATTCTTGAGCAGCACGGTAATTTTTGTATGGATTTTTAAATAAAAATTAACGGAATTTTTTCTCCGTGTACGGAAACACTGATTTGTTGCGTATTCCGACTTTAATTAGGATTTGTTCATCTTAAGTTAAACCTTGAGAAAGGATAGTCTTAGGATAAAAATAGGTGTTATATTTTGACTCGGGATATTGTCATCATCACAGTAAAATAATAGTTACTATAAAAATATCTTCAGTGCAAATGCTCACTAACAAAAATGCTAATTCAATTCACAAATACCAAGAAAAGCTGAATGTGCTAGGTGAAATGAGATTGTTTTAAAAATAATAGTGCAAAAAAAATTCAATTATTTATTGTTGTTATTATTATTAAATGTTATGAATAATGTAACTAATGTTATTTTGTCTGTTTGTTACAGTTAAGAAAGCGAGATTTGTCGGGGTCCAAGGTAAATATTAACACTAAATAAATTTGTTTTATATCCGACTGAGATGATCAATATGGATACTAATGTGTATTTTATGCTTCCAGCACAACAGTTCAACACTTACGTGACACTTAAATTACAAAATGTCAAATCCACCACGGTTACCGTAAAAGGGGCCAATCCATGCTGGGAGCAAGATTTTGTTTTGTAAGTATATATAATATATCAATAACTTATTAATATTTGATGGAAAGTTTACATCACACGATAAAAACAAAAGCATGAAAAATAATCGGTAGAAAGATATTTATTTCCTAGGAAAAGAAAAATTTACCCTTATTGCATTCAATGCGCTCCAAAGAGTTCAAAAATTTGAAGAAATTCATTCATCGATTTTGCTCCAAAGCCTATTTTGGGGTAGAGTTCCGTGTAGGGGGCACTTCCGATTGGGATCAAACTTCAGGTATTTGTTGGTTTAGTGCAACATGGAAAACCCTCGAGAGGTTTTTGGCGCAAATACATATAACATTTAATAGGGGTTTCAAAATTAGGTTTTTTTTTGACATTTTTGCTTCGTCTTTTGCTATTTTTTTCATAAATATTTTATTATTAGGGGTTCGAAATAAGGGGAGGTTGGTAGTTGGGAACATAGGGATCTGGGGCAAAGCCCTAGAATGTACTTGTACGGTTTTTGAAAATTGTTATTGATCCTCATTCAAGTTGTATTTTTTTTTTTGGGGTCGAGGGGCAAAGCCTCCCCTCGGAGGGGGTCTGAAAGCGTACCCCCCGGCACAGAGGTAAATTACGGATAGAATATATAATTAGTTGTAAAATCCACCTTAGTTGATCAATTACGAATTTATTTTATTTATTACGAAAAATTGCTTGAAAATGACTAAAATGTTTAAATTTTCGTTAAAAAAATCGAATTCAATGGTTCTGAGAATTTTTTTTGTTCTCTTTATTTGTAATTGAGTTAAAATGCAGGAAAAATTTACGAGAATTAGTCCCTTTTAAAAATTTCGTTATTTTAAGTTGATTTATTACGAAAAATTCACTGTAAATTTTAGTGTTTTATTTTAAAACATTAAAAGTGCTTTAACATGACGTCACCCATTTCATTAAAATTCTCTCCAACTTAAAACACTTAAAAACGTTTAAAAATCAAGACAATGTTAATGAAATGGGTGACGTCATATTAAAACACTTCTAATGTTTTAAAACAAAACACTAAAATTTAAAGTTTTGTCTTTAAAATCTAAAACTTCAAACACTCGTAAAAAATGTCCGGGGCAATGAAGTGTTACAAACACGTAAAAAATTTTATAATAATAATATTTTGAAGTTAATTTGTTATCCCTCGGAGTGAATTTCATTTTTTCTTTGCAAAGTACTCAAGTTCCTTTAAATTACAGGATAATTTATACTTATTTCTTCTTCCCGTGGAGGGTAAAAGTGAAATTTACCCTTCGATAGAAAGTCATGAGGTGGTAATTGTCCTAATCTGAGACTAAAGTCGACTCAACTGACCCAATACCAAGCCTAGAATGAATCAGATTCCTAGATGGAGGGAAGGATTAAGTAAAAATTACTCTGCTATATAGAATAATCAGAGCACATGATACAAAAATAATAAAATTTACCCTGAAAGATAAAGTAAAACTTATTCTATATGCATTATAAATCAAAAGTGTGTTATTTTAACACACTTTGAGCGTGTTTAATGTTTAATTGCCATACACAAACTATAGAACTTTGTAGTCATTTATAACACACTTCAAGGTGTGTTAAAATCTATAGTTTGTTTACGGAGTTTAACATTAAACACGTGTAGAGAAGTTTACTGTAACACGCCTTGGATTTACAGTGTGATGAGAATTTTCTTGAAGTGGAAGGATTAACTATCCTATCTTCGGAAGTGAATCTCAATCATTCCGTGCAGTGAACAACAGGGTAATTTTCACTGGGCCCTTTTCTCTGTGTACAAGCGGATATTTTCAAAGAAAGTGTTTTTCAACTCTCGTCAAGTGTTTAAAAAATTGACTCTTTAGATTATTATTTTATACTTATTCATATAAATTTTTGTAAAAAGATTTCCTCTCTCTCCTCAAATAGTTATTTTACATCTATATTGACCGGACCTACTGTAATTAATTTGCTGTTGGGGGTAAAATGTATTCATACAAGGAATATTTTATTATTAAGAATAATTTTTAGTTGAGAATAGATTTCACTAGTTTAATAAAAGTTATTTTTAAAATAAGAATTTTTTATAATAAAATAATTTTTAATTAATATATCTTGCAAAAAAATAATCAAATAATTTAAAGTATATTTTACGTTTTAAAGTTTAGAAAAATCATCAATTAAAAAAAAGTATCATTTTTCATGGTAACATTATATAACCCAAATTATCAAATTAAACTGAAAACTGTGGCCAAAGTGGATGTTTATTGATTGCAGTAACTTTATCCACAATTATTTAAAATCAACTGCTTGTTGACGTCCTTTATTTTCATTTCTAGCAATAAAGTTTAACGGTTAAATAATTGTAGTAATTTGAAAAACAACGAAAAGATGTATAATTTTATGGTGATTGAGTGAGAGCCTAACGAAATGCATGGTCGGACGACGCCCTTTCAGCTTGTAGAATAACCTCAAATGACCTTTAACCCAGTTTTCATTCACCTCGCGCACGCTTTATAGTGTGCCGCAATAGCCCTAGATTCTCCATCCAACTGGTTGAAAGTTCAACATATGATCACCTCATTTCCTATACCAACAACGTTTTTTTGTTTCTTGCTTTTTGCCTCGTTGGCTTTTTTATGTCCATTTTTGTGTGTCGTAAATATTATTTATTAAAGCTATTAACAGCAAACAGTTTTTAGTGGTGTATTATTTTATAGCTTACAATGCGCATGCGCATTATTTAATGTGATTTCCCTAAATTAGGGATGATTTCGTGCGTAGATGATTCATCTTAGAGGGTACTATTTTGAAGGGAAGGTAATCGACTGAATATCTAAATACTTTTTAAACAATTTTTTACTATGACTTGGGGCAAAAAACTTTTATTCAAATAAGTTGATGGGCTTAAATGTTTCAAAGACATTTAGATCATTAATGAAGATTAAATAAGGTCATAGATGAAATCATTTGAGAATTACTCACTAAAGAGTTTTTACTTCAAGTTTTATTTCAAGCTTTCTGCAGTTAAGAATAATTTTTTATTAATAGTAATAGAGTAAACCAATTTCCAAATCCATCTTCAGACCCTCAACACCATTTGATGCCGTGAAAAATTCTTGTCAAGGCAAATTATGGGGTTAATATGATAGGTCTGCTTGATTATTCGCTATTTAAAAGTGATGTTAACAATCATTCGATCCAAACCCTAGATCAGACCAGCTTGATAGTACTATAATATTGTATCGTTACTGGGTTTGCATACATGTTTGAAATTTTAAGTCAATCAGACGGCCAGAAGTGGAATAAATATAAATTGTACAGCTAAGATACCCACACTTACTGTGATACTGGTTGATGATCTTGAAATCGCTAGACTCATTTCCATCAAACATACCTAAAAACTATCCCGATTGAACCAGCTTTCAACCAGAACAAACTGCATTAGAACTGGTTCATCTTGTTGGGAGCATGTAATGTTGCTAACAGACCTAGAAATAGACTTCAAACTTATAGCACTACTCTTTCTTGAACAGAAAGTTGATTTTAAAGTAAGGGAATTTTGTCTCATTCAATTAAAAGTAATTAAAAACACCTTTTTATTATTAAAAATGACCACAATTAATTGGAGAACTCTAAAAAATGTTGTCATCATCAAAATAAAACCGTATTTTTCATCCATTGGATTTTCTGTGGTTTCAGTGAAACGAACGACATCAACACTGGTCTGTTAGTTGAGGTTTGGAGCAAAGGTATGGTGTGGGATCGAGCACTTGGCTATCACTACATTCCACTGCCTGGAGTTTCTTATGCAAATGAGGTGAGTAATTATTGGATCTATCTTTAACGCTGTTCTTTTGAAAATATATAAAAAAAACAAGAATAGTCTGAAAGATAATTGAAAAAAATAGAGATGGAAGAAAAGATGCAGTGAAAGGTAGAATTAACCTTCAATCTTCTTGTATGGATCATTGGCTATTTGTCTTTTCATTTCAGCTGCAAACTCTTTTGTAAAGTCTATTTCCTCAAGACTATTAAAGTTCTTATATAGAGTTAGTAGTTAGGAAGACTATTGGAAAAGTAGTTGAATTTTTTACTCAAGTAATTGAACAGCTTAATTAGCATTAGACTCAAATAATTCATGTATGGATTATTCGGACCGGATATTTAATGATAGAAGTTAGAAATCAAGGTCTTCTTGATGCTTAAATGTTTTGAATCAAATCAGAGACTCTGATGGTTTATCCTAATTAGTCTAGGGTTAAATATGCGTCCGACCCTTGCATGTGAAACATTCGATTGGATTATTTATTGCTAGAGTTAATGGAAGCCTGTTTGGAGATAAAGAAATAAATAAATGTTTTTACAATCAAGATGATTGTTTATTTTATGATCATTGTTTTTGGATTAACTATCATTAACAACTATTGACAGACTAGAAACTGATGATGAAAATATTATAAGTATTGCCCATAGATCAATACCAGTATACTAAAAGTTCAAGGCCATTAGAAGTGGGTTCAGTGACACGATCATCAACATAAAAAATTAATTGATGCCTGTCTGAATGTCTAACAGTCTAGTAGCCAAGATTTTAAGCCCTACCTCATTACGTAGTAATTTTGAAAATAAAATAAAAATGTTTCGATGATAGATTTTTGTAGAAGATGATAAGAAAAGTATTTGTAACATAGGGAAATGGTTTTAATTAATTAAAACTAACAAAAATTATCTCGACTCAGTAAATTTTTCGCGCGTTCAGAGAGCCAATCAAATTTATAATAAAAATGATACGAATTACGTTAAATTCAACCAATCAAACTAAAGCAGCTAACTTCTCTCTGTTTCATGCACTTTAGTAGAATAAATAAAGAAAAAGCCGTAAAATAAATTAAATGAAAAGACATTTGAAATCGATTTTACTTATTAAATGATCAATTTTGTTGTTAATGTTTCCTATAACTCTAAATGATTGTATATTGTTTATCATCATTTCAATTCGTTCTAAACATTCAATAATGGTTTTAACCAATTAAATAATTAGTATTATTAATAAATTCAATGATTACAAATCAAATATTGTTCCAAATGACTGTATGTGATTAAAAAATTGCATAATGTTGGTAACAAGAGCAATTTGTTATAAACAAAAAAATTTCTCCATACACTGTAAATCCAAAGTGTGTAACGGTAATCTTATTTCTATATGTTCAATGTTAAACTCCATAAACAAACTGTAGATTTTAACACACTTTGAAGTGTGTTAACAATAACTACAAGGCTCTATAGTTTGTTCATATCTATTTAACATTGAACACACTCAAGGTGTGTTATTTTAACACACCTTCAGATTTACAGTGTATTATTTCATGTGAAATTTACTAAGTGTGGTATCTGTTAAAGGTATTTTAAAAAATATATGACAGTCGATTGAAATTCTATGAGGCTTTATTTTATTTGATACAAAACGTGTGAGCATTAAAGTAATGTAACGTTCAAGTTGAACAGAAAAATAAAGTTGTGTTTACACATTTGGAATGCGAAAAGGGATTAAGCTATGCGTTAGTATGTGTATGAGTATAATAGTGAGTGGGTTTATTCTATTGTATCTCTAACAATATCTTTCTGACCACGGCACGGTTTTTCACCCCACTTTCCTCAACAATATAACATGGAAATTACTACAATTTTTATTCAACTATATTTTCATTTATTTAACTCTATTAGACTTACTTCATCTTTTTAATTTCATTTGTCAAACGACTGGAATTTCAAGCGTGTAAATATCATTTAAAGTTTTAAAATTATTTTATCAGTTAAAATATTCACTGTACTGAAATGTTGTATTAAAAATTTTTTTTTCATTACGTTACTTAATTTTCTTTAAATTAAAGCAACAAGGTCGAGTCATCTACAAATGTTTATAAATTCTTCGTAGAAAAATATTTTTAATGTACTTTTTAAATTGACTTGAGAAAATTAATAACTTCATTTAGCTCAGCAACTTTCAATTTCCACCGAACAATTACTTAATTTAATTAAATAAAATTCAAAAAAGCAAATTAAATTTTTTTTTCACTTAAATTATATTTTTAAAGTAAAGTATATATTTTAATTTTTTTTTTTTATTTCTGATCGACACGCGAACTCATGAGGTCTTTACGTAAACACAAGGTTTTTTTCCAATTATTACGAGGATAATCTGGGTTGCAAGAGAGGTAAAAAACCGGAACAAAAAATATAGGGAAATGAGTGAGGGAAAAGTATAAAAAGAAAATACGATAGTGGTCATTAGGTTGAAGGTTAAATGTAGAAGGTATTTCAAGGTTCAGATATTTGCTTGTTGAATGAACAGTGAAGCATTATAGAGATATATAGAGATATATAGGTTAGGATAGAGGACCTTTTGAACACGTGCAGAAACTTGATCGATCTTCATACTATCATTTTGATAGATAAATTGTTTTTATTTAGCATATTTTTATGACCCACTCTTAGAAAATCGAATGTTTGTTAAAGTTTTAAACATTTTCAACTATCAACATAATTATATGCATAAATGTGGTATAGACTAATGAGATATAGAACTTAAACTTTTATAATAATTCTTTCAAGTTGTTTGTTTACTTATTGAATAATGTTACCTCGGGCATGGATTTACCTTAACTTTCACGTGACTTCTTTTTATAATTCTATTGTCATAATACACTGAAAATAATACATTGTTAACCAAGGAAGAAAAGTATGATATTCTGACCTGGGTGTAAAAATGCATCCCGAGCCCAAGGTGTCGCAAACATCCAGGTAAGAATATCTTACTTTGCTCTCGTAGCCAATATATAACTTTTTTATCATACTGTCGTCCAAAATTCAAGTTTGGGGTTGGAAAAGTGACGTTTTCTCTCTCGCAGAGAAAGACAACATCCGTTTGGGCATGCGCACAGATGATTTTTCGTCTTTTTCTGCGGGAAAGAATACGTCCTTTCTAGACCAGTAAACGGGGAGCAAACTTTAACTTTGAGTGTGGGTATGAGAAAAATAGTACATTTCACACCTAGGGAGGGAAAATAGTCCAGCTCAAACCACGTATAAAATTACTAACGTGCAACTACGTTGCTTCGCTGTCATCACAATACGTTTTATTGTTAGGAAGAACTCGCATATCATCAACAGGACTCAACGATATTTTGTAAAATAGCGTGATTACTCGACCCAACGTTTCGGTAATTTTGCGATCTGTTTAGCACTAAGAGACAAATCGTTTAGTTGGTTTAGTTGGCCCTTATCTGACAACCATGCAAGTAGATTGCCTTCATAACGATACGAAATATTGCTTTTATAAGAATTTGAATCGTTTAAACATCTAACAATGAATGTAGGGCTCTTATCGTGATTTAGATTTTCCTATTAACAAAACACTTATAGCAATACTTGGTTTGGTTATGATGGCAATATTTTTTTCACTGTACGTAAAATAGTAAATAGAATGCACTTTTTAAAATAAAACAATAATTAGAATTCTGTACTTCATTTGAGCATGTATGAGTGTTCTCGGATCGATAACGAGGTGCTACATATGAACTTTTTTTGACAAAAATAACTTTTTGTACATCTATCATATACAGAGAAAAAACCATATGAATAAAAAAAGAAATTGAGATATTTCGATTGAGATTAATTTTTTTTGAAGGTTTTTTTTTACTACATTGTTTACTAATAATTATATTATTATGTTTTTATAACATAGTTTTTGAAGAATTAGTTTTTATAATTATTCATTTTACACTGGTTTGTATCGAAGTCATGTGACTAATCACGAAAACTCTATCATCATTGAGTCTGATTTATTGATAGTCCATTATTAATTATAATCCAATAATTCTATTTTTCAATAATTATTTCAAAAAGTATGAACATGCTTTATATCTCAGGACCTGTAGATTTTTTTTAACTTTCTCAGTAGTGTTTTGAATCGCAAATCTAGTAGTCTTTTTTATATTAATTAAATTATTTAAAAAAAAGTTGGTCAGTTATAAATATTAAAAATACTTATTACCAGCTTGCATTATCACCAAATGAAATTTCAGAAGAGTTTACGTTAATTATCTGTTTTAATTCTTGATGAAACGCAGTGTTGTCTGACAACTTTTATAAAAAACTGTAGGTGGCAGCTTCAAAAAGCAGTAGGCGTTAGAATGAAAACAGGAAGTCCAAATTATTACGATTTAAAAGGATAGCTAATTATAAAGTGTGATAAGAATTCATACAAAACATGAGAATAAAGTTCAATTATTAATAAATGATAATAAAATAAAAAGTATCTTGTCAAATATAATTTTTTAAATTAAATAAATAATATCACATTGATCATTACACATTAGTTTTTATAATAGGAACAAATATAAATATATTTATGATTATGAATAGAAAAACTAATACTACATAACACCTAGTCTTTTTCCGACTCATCATCATAAATATTTCCAGTCATTCTTGCCCGTAATGAATTATGTATTAAAAAATTAACACAACTATCGTTACTTAATAATCTTTTTGTGTGCAAACAGCCATTTAGAGTTTCAATTGATGAATATTTACGGTTATAATAGCAATGACTACCCGGGAAAAAATAAAATAGATCTACATTGATCTACTCGGATCTATTTGTTGGCACAATTAGATCTACTTTGTTCTGTGTACATCTGTTTTGATCACTTTAGATCTTCTGCGATCTCTGTAGATGTATTAAATTTTTTTTTATCATCGAGATCAATGGAGATCTCCATAGCCATACAGTAATTTGTGTACATGTACAGTGGT